TCCGTTTCAAGACCCCGCACGTCGGAAAACGGGGCCCCGTGCAGGGACGGTGGGAGTTCAAAACGGGCTGTTGCCCCATTCAGAACAGCCGAATCAGGTGAGCTCCGGTCGTCTAGCTGACACACGTGTGTGTGGATGAAAGGTGCTCTGGAGCAAGGACCTGGGCAACAGCCCCGGCAGCAGCATTCCTGCCCAGGAGGAAAGAGCAGGTGGGCCACCCGTGCGGTCCTGCCCTGTGCACTCTGTGTCCCTCGTTGCACGCGCATCTCCGATACTCTGTACAGCTTGAGACTAACTGGGATTTTACAGTGTTTCGTTCATGCACAAACTCCGGCATTTGCATTTCTTCTACCACTCTTTCTACCCTTCAGCAGTAAATGTTGAAATGTACAACTGGAAGCACTAGAAGTAGAAATTTACTTAAAAACACCGTTTCAAAGCATGCTGACATGAACCCTGGCTGCAGGGCACAGTCTGGAACAGCACAGGAGGCCCGCAGGCCACACGCTGCCCTCCCGCGGAGCTCAGTCCTCAGCGTCTGTACTTGGAAATCAGCCGCGCTCCGTTAAAGCGGGGAGTGCGGAGGACAGTGCCCCCACTGAGGCACAAGCGCCCCAAGCAGCAGCCTCAGAAACACCCACCTGAGCAGAGCAAGCCGCCGCCGGACCGGTCCTGCCCCGCTGCTCGGACGCCTGCCTGCCTGCCTGCCTGCCCGCGATCACCCCCAGTGGGGCAGGGCGCCTTTTCCTACCTTGGACACTTGAAGGGGTCCTTTCTGTTCAGAGCCCCCCTGCAGCCGGAAGCCCCAGGGGGCCCCTCCAGAGAGAGTGACCGCCACCTCTTCCTCTTCGGCTCCCATGGCTTCGGTGCGCTTCCTTTGGCGACAAATGCCTCTCTCCAAAAGCCGCTCCTAAGGGTCGCAGGGTTCCACTGCCATGGTCGCCGGGGGTGTCCGGCTCCCTCAGCCTTTCCTCCCTTTCCCCCACTCTTGTGCTCATGCACAGGACAGCTCAGTCCACCAGGACCCACGCTCCCCACTCTGCTAGACCCCCAGCTGTTGAGCCAGCCGATTTGATTCCACTTTTGGTAAGAGGCCAGAGTCTTTCTGCACATGCATCTTGTCAATCTCACCCTCCGTGCTCCCCCCACCTCCTGGCTGGCCATCGGCCCTGGATGTCTCACCAAAGTGTGGCCGAAAATAGCTCTCCTCCTGTCTCTCTTCAGAGCTGGGTCCCACACTTTTCCAGATGGGAAGGATTTAATTTAAGCATTGCAATAAAACTTGGAATTCCAAGGATCCCAGAGGCTTTCCTTTTTGTTCTTCAGCGACAGCAAAGACCCCTTGAGTGGGAATGCTGCCTTACTCAGAACAATTTCATTACTATCATATAATGCAAAGTGCAGAAAGGGATGGGTGTTGTGTTTGCAAAGCCTTGACCACGTGGCAGCTGCAGCCATCGCAGGGGCCCGGGCAGGAGGCCGTGTGCGCAGAAGACGGCACGGCGAGGGTCCGAGAAGCGCTAGCACAACCCTGGAGTTCAATTAGCTGCACTAAAGGCATCACTGAATGCAGCACAAAACTGGTGACAGTAACAGCAACCATAAACTCAAAACCAAAACAGGGAGGAAATCAAAGCTAGCACCGCAGTGATTTTGATAAACTTCTGCACAAGGGTTGGACAAAATGCCAAAATTAAAATGTTGGTCATAGAGAAGCTGGAGGCCAAATATTTTCCCCAAAGGGCAGAGCCATCCTCTACTCGTATTACACTGGGATGGAGATAAGCAGCTGCTCCAGGGATGGAACAGCAACTGTACTCCACGCCTGCTCCTCCAGGAAAGGGAGGAGAAAACACAACCCGATAAACAGAAGCAGTGTCAAAACAGCCGGTCGGCCTCCAGTGCCCGACCGGCTCTCCTTGGAGCCGCTTTGCCTTTTCAGAGCAAGGAAAACCCGCCGCTCCCTGGGAAGGTCAGCCTGAACCCGCTGGGCATTTGTGCCTCCTGGTGCTTGTACAGTGGGGCAGAGGGGCCCCCAAAGGGAGCTGTGGGGAAATGAGCCTCTCTTTTTGCAGAGCCCCAAAGCAGAAACCTCAGTGAGGGAGGGGTTTAAAGGCCTCGCCCACCCTCGTCGCTGCCTGCTGGAGCTGAACCAGGCGTTGGGTGATGGCGTGCTTACTAACCAAGCCAGGGGGGTTAAAAAATTACGTGCCCAACAGCAGCTGGGGCAGCTGCTGTTGGTCCTGCGGGGGGGGGGGCGGTCATTCCTCCCCTGCTTTGAGCCCACCCCCTTGTGTGAATCCCCTCATGCAAAAAGCTCTCCACTGGCTCTAAACCTACTGAACTTTTCCTCCTCTTGTGATGGCACTTTTATAATGCTTCCATAAGAATTCAGAATCGTAATGTTTACAGTTCAAGTGCCTTTTCCTTCCAAGCAAGGCCCAGAGCTCCTTGCCCCAGTCGCAGCCGCAGAGATGCCCGTGCCTCCTGCAGGGTGGCTGCCTCGGCCGGGATTCGCTTGCCCTCACTCTGCAAAGACGGGTTGTGGCCAGCCCCGTCGGCAGTGCTGGTGGCCTTACATGAGTCACCTCCTCTGCCTGCTGGCCCTAAAAGGTACTGCGAACAGAGGGGCCTCCTCCACTGGCACATCAGCTACTCGGCCACACGGGGCTGTCCTTTTCTCCCAGACCCCAAATATAGCCGTGTGGCAGCAACAAGGAACAGAGTGAAGGATCTTGGACTGTGCTCATGTAGTCTATGTAGCTGCTTGTCCATTTCTCATCTGTGGGTTAACGTACTTATCTGAAAGCTAGGTAGCTACCAGGAGCTACTAGAAAGTGTAAATGTAGCCACTATTTAAACGCTTCAATCCATGCCTTGCACTCAGCAAATCGAATTCCTACTTCCAGATAAATGGCTGCATTCAAAGAAACATGGAAACTGAGCGAGTGAGAAGGGGTCTCCTGGGCCATCTAGTCTGACCCCTGGCTCCAGCCAGTTCCACTCACGACAGGCCCACGTGTGCATGTCCAGCCTGTCTCATTCCACATACAGCAAGAAAGGCCCAGTAACTTCCTAAGAAAACCAGACCGGACTTTTTCCATTTGCAAATGAATTCCCAAAATCCAGATAGAGATGCCATAAGTAAGTTGGGCCAAGTTTTTTGCTTTATAAATTTGTATTGCAGAGTGGATGATGTCCACCTTGGGTAAAAAAAGCATCTTAAAATCTGCTGGCTAAAGTTTGCCGATTCAGTCGTTTGTCTACATTGTTCAAACCAAAGCCCAGTGCTCTGCATCTGAACTCCTAGATATTTAATATGGAAGATTTGCTTAATGATATGGCCATTTAAAGTCTGTTTAAACTATTTTCTAGCTTTAGAGAACACCAGGACTTGAGAGTTATTACAATTAATAATCTGGCTATTCATAGAGCATTACGTTCCAAATGGGGCTAGTAAATGATTCAACCCAATTCTGGCTGGTGAAAGCAATAAAACATCTTCAGCGCACAGAAGTAAAGGTATCTTAGTATTACACATCCTGGGAGCATGAGAATCTATGTTAAGGAAATGGAAAGCCAGATCATTGGAAAATACATTAAAAAGAAAAGGGGCCAGAATACCACCATGTCTAACTCCCCTTGTGACAGGGATTAGGTTAGTAACATTAGGGTTACTAACCCTGCAGGCCACATCTGACTTGACTGGAAGTCTGGTTGTACAAACATCTAATAAGGAATAGTACATGCTTATGCATGGAACCATTATGTAATTTAGAGCATAACTGATTCCTTGGAACAGTTTCCTTAAATTAAAAGCTGATTTAAGGTTAAAAAAGGCAGTGAATAGCTTCCCACCAGAAATGGAGGTATACTTCTCAGTTAAATGAGCCAGCACACAACAATGGTCAAAGGTTGAACAGCCAGGTTTGAACTCAGTCTGCTCCCAACCCAACCCAACCCATTCTATAATTATCTTCCCTCCAGGTTAAAAGCTTGTGTTTTAAGCACTTTGCGCAAAGTTTCCCAACAACCAAAAGAAGGCTGATAAGGACAGTAATTGATAGGATTGGGACCCAGTGGTTGCTGCTTCCTGCCTTTCAGCTGGGGCAGGAAATCCAAAGCTGCTGCATTACCAAAACTAAGCTAGATACCTGACTGAAATGGATCCAGATAGTTGCTGCCACACCATTAAAAATGTCTGGCATCAAAGGGTAATGACTCACTTTACTGGGAAAGTGAATTATTATTCATGACTAGCTGATAGTAGGGAAGAACCTTTGGGTCCAGCAGCCCTTTATCAGGGCCCCTTTCACGGTTTTAGAACCACCCTCTATTCCAAAGAGACATTTCTTGGACTCAGCCAGGCATTTTTTCCATGCTGGATATTTTAAGCCAAGAGGGGCAAGGTAGAGTGGGAGAGGTGCACGACTCCACTTTGCTAATTTCTTGGACCTCTATGTGGAAATTCATACAGGAACACTTGCTGCACTAACTATAGAACAAAGTGTTTGCTGAGCCCACAATTTTATCCAAGCTTAGTCAGAAAAAAGTCCTATAATCCTAGCATGTCCAGGCCTTAAGGACTGCAGCTAGTCTCTTGCCTGGCATTTCAGCATTCTTAGTTGGATATGAACTAAGATTGTAACCCTAAGTAATAGAAACCAACAGTTACAACTTCATGTAGTTGAGTTTAGGCAAGCTAGACACAACAGTGCCATTATTACTGTTGTATTTAATTGAGTATATGCAAGCAATTCTAGGAGACTTTGTGGAACAACATAAAAATATTCAAATACCTAAAGAATGTATAGCTTGTTCTAATAGTGTATGTGCCATTTCTTTAATGTGTGTACACATGGAAACAGCTGACAGGGGTTTTCTGGCTTTTAACTGCATGCCTTTATCTTGATGAAAATACGTAAGCTGCCAAGTTCTGCACAATTCTTTCCCAGGCAGCAAGAAAATGAGTCTCGGATGTACTTGCACACAAGCCAACCAACAGAACGTCTTGCCGAGAAGTGTTATCCAAGCCACGACGGGGGCCTCCGGGCACGGCTTTGCATGCCCCGTTCATGGAACTCGGGGCGGGGTGCTGCCGCACTGCCCGCGGCCTTTTCTCTCCCTTTCCACAGAAAGGCCATTATGGAAAGCGAAACGGAGCTGCTACCCGATGCCTTCTCCACCGAGATCGCGGAAGCCCCTGGAGTGAGAGGGCCCGCGTGGGAGGCCTCCTCCCGCGCCGCGCTAGGCCGCAGCGGGGTCCCGCCCGGAGGCTGGCGGGCGGCGGGCCGGGGTCCCCCTTCACGCAGAGCCACAAGCCGCGCGGCAGCGGAGCAGCCGAACGGGGGGACGGCGGCGCGGGGGCGATCCCCGCTTCCCGGCAGGAGGCGGCTCAGGCCTCGGCCAGGGACGGGGCGGCCCCCCGCCCGGAAATGCCCCTTGACCGGAAGTGCGTCAGGATGGGCCAGAAAGCGGCCGCCGCCACTTCCTCGTCCTCCCCTCGCCCGCCCGCGCTGCGCACGCGCAGATCCGTGCCCTGCGCCTGCCTCTGGGCGGGGCCGCCGAGAAGTGAGGACGTGGCAGCTGCAGGAAGAGCAGAGCGGACGCGGGGAGTGCTTCCGGTTGAGCGGCGGGCCAGGAACCGGAAGCCGGGCAACGGCGGGCGGCGGCAGCCGGGGCAGCTGGTTCTGGA